AATATTGCATGAGTTCCTTGTTTTTCAATGCAGCATAGTATTCCATTGTGTGAATATACCACAGCTTCTCTATCCATTCGTTTGTTGATGGTCACCTTAATCTTCTTAAAACTGATTGGTTGATCATATAATGGGGATGATTACATCATCATATAACTGTCAAATCAGATCATTTACATAATTGCCAATGAGAATCTTGTCCCAGCCAGCTGACAAAAAAAAAACCTCAATTCAATAAATGACAAAGACCCAGGTGTAGAGATGACCATGAAGGGAGACTGGAGAACACAGATGTGGCCATGGAATTGGGTTGTGGAGACACAGAGGTGATCATGCGGGGGAGGGCCTGGACAAGGACACTGTGACAGTGACTATGTAGTACAGAGGATGTAATGATGACTCTACTGTAGGATTTCAGCACAGAATGCATGGATATAATGGCATATGGCAGGGCAGACCTGGGACGTGGAGGACATACAGGTGCTGTGGCGCATACTGCAGTGGCCATGTGGGGTGGCTTGGGTATGAACATGAGGTTGATCGTAGGGGAAGAGGATGTACCTCAGTATTGGAGGACATACAGATGGTCATGAAGGGGAAGGACATGGATAATGTGCCAGGGGACCAAGGTATGTAGGACAGGATAATGACTGGGGATGGGGGCCTTGGCTGCAGAACATGAAGATGACCAGGTGTTTGGGACTTTGAGGAGGAAGTCTGTGTGTCATGAGACTTTGCCCTGTTCCTTTCCTGGTTCTGAAAACTAGACATAACTTACATTTTTCGCTGTAAATAATTTTTTCTAGAACAGCAGGAATAACTTAGACAAAGTACTTTCTTTGAAAATATCATTTCATTATAAACCAGAAAAGAAGCTTTCACCTAAACATAAAGAATACTTACTTGATGTTGACAAGATTTTCTCCTCAGGGCAGCAGAGCGACATCATAAGAGGTGGAGAAAGTGGATGTGTAAATAAAAATTGGACACATTTCTAGACTGCAGAAATATTTAATAAACTGAATTCATTACAGTAAAAGGAAGTCATGTTCAATCCATTCTTCTCACTGGAACCCATGTCCTGCTGGGATCTATAAGGTGCAGCTGCTCCTCAAGGCACCACTGCTCGACGGCTTGGCCGGCTGACCTCACTCCTACAGGATCTTTTGTTTGACAGTCGTGCTCTCAGAACAGAGGTGCACAAAGAGGGTGCCAGCGGCTGTGCGGGCCCGCAGCTCTTGAAGCTCATAGTTGTGGGCCCACTTGATGTTGCCCCACTTCTGGATCTAAGGAAAGAGGTATGCTGGCTTGGAAGGCACCCACACTGCTTCCCAACAGGCCAGAGTCACATCCACTGCTGGGGCTCAGACTGACTGAGCAAAGGCTCCAAGCTTGCACACACAAGGTGGGGGGGGGGCAGGGCAGGGCTGGACAACATGGAAATTCAAAAGATAAAGATGACTTGGGAGGGTTTTCAGGCTGGGCCCAAAGCCAGTGGCCCTCACTGCTGAGGGCCAAGCATTTGAACCATATGCACACTCTCCTCCCTGGTGCTCAGCCTGTGGGATGGAAGTCATGAATAGTACACTGTTTTTATGTACCACAGAGTTGACTGTGACTCATAGCAACCCCATGAACAATGGCTCTGAACCCTGCCCTATCCTGAGCCAACCTCACCATCTCCAACACTCTTGATCCCATTGCCACGGTCACAGTATCAGTTCATCTCATTGAGGGTCTTCCTCTCTTGCACTGACCTTCCACCTTTCCAAATAAGAAGCCTCATGATAGACTGCAAATCTGAGTCTGAAAAAGCAGTCTGGAGGGCTTCTGCTTAAACATGGGCAGAGCAGGAAGGCCCTCAGGCTCCTCCCACCAGCAACCCAGGAGGCTTCTCTGGTCACCCTGAATCTCATGTGTCCTACAAGTCTCTGCAGTCTGGACTGTCCAGTTTCAGTGTAAAAAATGGCGGTATGCTCCCAAGGTACTGTCATGTACATGGGAGTCTAGGATGGGAGGGGCTGAAACAGAAGGTCACAGGACAAGGGATCATGCCAAATGCAGAATCAGAACAGAAACCAAGTCTCTGGGCTCTCCTCTAATCTCACCACACCAGAAATCATATCCAGTCCATATAATCCTTTGTAGTGTTAAACCGGGTGGCTCCTTAGAGGCAAGGATTCTGAGGCTCCATCTAACATACTTTGGACATGTTACAAGGAGAGACCAGTCCTAGGAGAGGGACTTCATGCTTGGGAGGGTGGAGGGACAGCACAGGAGGGGAAGGGGTGATTCAGTGACTGGGGTAATTGGGTTGGGAGTGTCAGAGACAGTGCGATTGGCACAGGACAGAGCAGAGTTTAGGGCTTTTGTACATAGGGTCGCTATGAGTTGCAAGAGACTCAACGGCACATAACAACAACAACAACAATATCAAGTTGGTTGTGCACGAAGGACTATTCCCTGGCCTTTCCCAAATCAGCAGATAACTATATGGACTTGGGAAATACTGCTATTATAAAAAGGCTTTCTTATACTGAGAACCAGCAACTAATAGCAATTCAATATATGTATTAAAAACCACCAGGTTCATTTTTCAGAGTGAAAAATGGAAATGACAGCATCTCAGAACCTGATAAAATCTAAGTACACTACCTCAGAAACTGTATGCAGGCCACAGCTTCCTCTGCAAGCCAGAATGGAGAAGCACCAAGGCAAAAGCAGGGAAGTACTGTCGAAGTACACATGGGCTTTCAGCAGCAGCTGCACTCTGCATATAGACTGGGCCCAGACTTGCTCTCGTCCGTGGGTATCCTTGAGAGAGGGGAAGCGTTGGCCCTAGAGATCCTTGATCTGGTCCCAAACGCAGTTGGAACATTTCCTAGTCATGCACACCTGTACCTGTTTCTTCCCATGTAAAAGGAGGATAACAGCAGCTTCACCTGTGGCTATTTGAGGTGAGGTGGTGTGATCAGAGGGCCGGGGTGTAGGTTAAACTTATGGCAATGATGTGATTATTACATGGCAATACCTTAGTTTTGGTTTCAGTGTGTACACGAAAGTAATAAAGCTCAAGTTTATATGGAAAAATACAGAGGACTCACTTGCCTCCTCACTGTGAATCAGGAAGGGGTGTTATTGTAACTGTCTCCTCATCCTTATGTGGGGAAGAAAACTGAGGCCAGCCCCAAGGGTTTAGTCCATCTCACCTGGTACTCCTCCTCCAGGCGAGAAAGCAGCACAGCCTTCTCCACTGTCAGGTGCAAATCCATCAGGCCTAGGGTCAACACCATGGATTTAAGCTGGGCCACCACAAATTCAATCCCTGTAGGACACAAGACAGAGTTCAGAAGCCTTCTTCTGGACAAGGCCTATCCCACCTCTGACTCCCCACACTTCAACGCCCCTGCTATCACGCTAATTTCAACTCCTAGCAACCGTCCCACAGTCCTCCAAGGCTGCATGTCCTTACAGAAGCAAAATAACATAATCTTCTACTGAGAAGGGACTGGTGGCTTCAAACTGCCAAGCACTATTATCACTATGCCACTCAGACTCCTCCCTACATGTTAAGTGGGAAAACGGCAATAAATGGGGGAAACAGTCACAGGAGGCATCTCTTGTGTTGGCCTATTCTGTATCTGACATCTGGAAATCAGGACATTACACACCCCTGCCCCAGCAATGGGGAAGGATGTGAGTCTAGAACACAAGCTGAGTAAAAGGACTGGTGTTAAAGCAGTGTTCATCCTTAGAGAGGAATCAAGAATGCTTTTCTTACTCACATTGAGGACCGTTACAGAACACCTTTCCTGATTCACTCTCCAGACACAAATGCCCATTACCCTCCCATCCAAGCCCCAGAAAGATCCAAGAATACCTTGGAGGGCCCACATGTTGTAAGATGCCAGATAGCTGGTAAGTGTCTCCTGAGTTTTGGCTGGGATGCTAGGCCCCAGGATGCTGGTAGAGGTGCCAATCTCTACATCATACCTGAAAAGAACAACAACTCAAGCCTTCTGTCTTCTGGTGGCCCCAAACAGCCCAGATTTTGCTCAGAAATAAAGAGCATGTATGTGCTCCTTCAGTTTAACTGGCCAAGGAACAAGTCTTGGGGTTCTAGGAGTCAGCACCACAGACCAGTGGCTTTCTAACCTAATTTTCAACCCCATATGCGCAAACTGGGCTAAGGAACTACCCTGAGTGGCTGGTGTGTCGTGTAAGCCGAGTACACACATGCACAGATGCTGGAAACTCTAATTTATGTACCTAGAAATCTGCTCTTCATGTGTCTAAAAAGTTTTTTACACCCACAAATATGGACATGCTTAATAGAGAATATCTGTACTTATGGATTTATATGTGCTGAAAATATATCCATGACTACAGTACAGTATGTGGAAGTAAAGTTATGAACATTTCTTAACCATAATCAAACACTTTGAGGGAACTGGGACTCAGGACTAATGTCTTGGAGGACATTAAGGTCAACTGGCATAACGCAGTCCACAAAGACAATATTCTGGATCCTACTTTCATGATTAAACTGAGGTCTTAAAAGCTTGTGAATGGCTATCTAAGGTGCACCTGTTATTGATGTCACCTCATTTAGAGTAGATGAAGAAAATCAAAGATGCATGCTAACAATTAGTCCAAAAATGGGCCTCAACAAGCTTGACGTTAGAAGGACTAAAAGCTGCCTAGATACAACTGCCAACTGCTCTGAAAGGGATCTAACAGGAGTTCCTGGATAGGCTAGGAGAAAAGTACAGAAAATGAAAACAAATCATAAAAAAGACCAGACTCACTGATCTGATAACAAACTGATGGAACATCTGACACTACAATCCTTCATGCCTGGAAGTAAATTTAGTTCCAGGGCTCAACTTTCAACCAAACAATGGACAGTCCTTTAAGCAACAGAGAGGTCTGTACTCCTTAGAGATAAAACAGGCAGCATCTGCATATAGCGACAGTTTTAACCACTTCTTTGCCGATCTACATGCCTTTTATCTCCTTCTGATCAATGGAAACTCTGCTCTAAAACTTTCACCCAAATTGCAAATAAATAAATATATGAATGAATGTATGTATGTATGTATGTCACATCTAAGGCCATGAAAGACTTCTTTTAACTACTTCTTCCCTTATAGTAAAATGTGTATACATCCTACATAATGCAGTCTTTTTTTTTCTTTTCTCTTTCAACAACTATTTTTAGGGCCTCTATACTAGGCAGGGTGTTGTTTCTGGCTTGTGACCCATGGGACCTGTGCTAGTTTCAAGCAACAGTAGTAAATCTTCACTTAATAATCATAACTATTTCAAGCACAAGAAAAATATAGTGGAGAAAACCTATTTTTTTAGAAATTCTTTTATCAAACACTGATTCCTGTCATTTAAAAAATATCTTTGCTGAAATTTCTAACATTATAAATAAAATGTAGGAAGTGGTTTAGTTTTCTGTAAACTATTAAGAGCAGGAAAATGCAAGTGCCACAAAAACTAGTCTTCTGTGTACCAGAGCACAGACCACTAGGCCCTTGAATTTGGTTTTAAAAGGCCTGGCAATCCACTTCTGAGTACTCAAGTAGACTCAAAAAAGCAGCTGGCACTGTAGCTATTATACCTCACTTGATCTCTTTAGTCCCTAGAAGCTGTGTTTTTACTTTAAAAATCCCAGAGTGCCTGGCATGTTCTGAGCACTCAGTAAATAAACATGGAGAAAATGAAGGAGATGGGCTGAAGGATATAAGGATGTAACATGAGAATGTTCCATGCAAAACCATAAAATTCGGGGGGGGGGGAAGCGACAACAACAAATCTAAAACAAACCACAAAATACTATGGCCAAGGACTGAATTTTTGTTTCCCAAATTACATGTATGAAATATATTAGTAGTGAGTCCTGGTGGTGTAGTCCACAGAAAGCTTCACTGCTAATCCAAAGGTTTCAAGTCTCCAGCAATTCTAACCCACCCAAGAGCTTTGCAGGAAGAAAATGGGAAGTCTCCTTGCGTTGCAATTTATAGCTTCAGAAACCCAATGGAGGATTAGGGAGTCAAACTGACTAAAAGGCAGTGAAACTGAGGTGTTTTTATTTCCCTCTCCAATGATATAATATGAAAACCATATAATGATCCCCCATGACGTGTTAAACCAAATAGTTGTAGGAGGGTAAAGGGTGAAATGCATCAGCCCTCAATCCCTAATCCCACCACAACCCTAATCGAAGAAAGCTATTTATCAGGCTGTGGACCAGAACACCTTTTCTCTCACTAGAGGTAAAAGGAGAAGAAAGCAAGCAGAAGTGGGGAAAGGAGAGCTCAGTATTAGAAAAAAAAAAAAAGAACTACAGGAGTGAAGTGTATCCTTCTGGACCTGGGTCTCTCTGTGAAGAAGCTCCTTGATAATGAGTAAGGCCAGGTTATGTGACATCTCTAAGGAACATTTGGTCTAAGGAAACAAAGACCTTTCCCCAGAATCAACCAAGAGAAAAGGCCTCCTCCAAGAAGTGACACCCAAAATTTGGACTTGTAGCCTCCTAAACTTTGCAAGAATATATTCCTCTTTGTTAAAGCCAAGTATCTCTGTTAACAGCAGTGAAGTTCTGTCATTACTATTGAGTCTGTCATTACAATTGGTTTGAGAGGCTATAAATTACATGGGAGGAGAATGACCATCTTATTCCATTGTAGCTGCTGGTGGCTTTGAACCACCAAAAGGTGTAGTCCCTGGTCAGCAGCACAACTCCCTAAGAGATGACACTGCCAGAGCCCCCTGCAGTCAAGTCAGGCTCCTCATATTTCTCTTGAGATAAAAAGGACTTTCTTTTGCCATCTAATAAGTCCGTTCAATTATGCACTCAAAACCATTTTCCCATTAAGGACTAACACTGGGAACAATCAGTTCCTGGATCAGCTTACCCACAGAAGAAACATTACTTGTGGTTCTGTCTGGCCTCTCTGGGTGTGTATGTGCCCCAATCCCACTGCTTACTAGTATAATAACTATGGTGATGACAAAAGATGACTGGAACATTTATGAGCACATGAGCCAGGAAGGGGATCGTTCCTTGAAAGGCCCCACTATGTTCAGCATCCAGCCCCTGAAAGGAGGCACCACCACCTCTGCTTTCCATACACACCAAGTTACACAGTTAGCAAGTGGCAGACCTGAGACTAAAGCAACACAGCTGTAAATCAGAACATTAACAGCAGCGGGAGGGTGGCCTGGGAGACCCCACTGCAGCCCAAAGATACCCAGCACAGGATCAAGAGCAGAGGCCCAGACCTGGCATTGGGACAGCCTGAAATCACACCTGAATGTATTTTTCCCCAAAGTGTCTCTGAACATCCCAGAGACGCCCAATCTCAGAGGTATCTGAGCCGATTAGCCAAGGATTTGTCCACTGAGTCCTCGGGCTCCCCACCCCAGAGCCCTAGTCATCAATAAGGGTTTCCCAGGGGTGGGTTATGGTGGGATATGGATATGGTGCTTCTTAGGTGGCACATCTTACCTCTTATTGGCCCACTTGATCATGGGGTCCCACTCATTCTTCTGAAGTTCCACTAATGTCTCCGGCTCCTCTATTCTGTAGCTAATTCATTGCAAAAATCACCTTCGTTAATACAAAAGTAGTTTCCTCATTCAGCAACAGACAAAGGGCCAGAGCACACATTTCTTCCCCACCACCCCAGCCCTATAAGCCATCCTCAAAGTATGGTCCTAGGATCAGCAGTATCTGTAGGACCAGGACATTGGTTCAACTGAAGTGAGAAACTCTTGAGATGAGGGCCAGCAATCTGTGGCTTAACGAGCCCTCCAAGTACTTCTGATGTAGGCTCAAGTCTGAGAAGCACTGCTCTAGATGCTCCCCATTACTGAATGGGACAGATGATGCCATTCTAATTTGCTTTAACCACACCCCGCAATCTATATCCACGTGGTGCTCAGATACTTAACGTGGAAAATGTGCCAGAAGTTCAGTCATCGCAGCACTGACCACCTCCTCCCATGAAACATTATGCACTACCCAAAATTATCTCTGGCTGAAGGGATCCAATCCAAGAGGCCAGGCTGTACCACTTGTTTTGATCAAGTGAAAGTGAGACAGAGTCACTTGAGGGAGCTGAGCTGCAGCCACATGATGGCTTGGATGTAGCCACATGGCCCTGTGGAAAGCAATGGCTCATGTAACCACAGGGGATAAGGGCATAAATGCAGAGCAGAGTAATGAAAAAAAAGAAAAAAAACAACAAACTCAGCCTAACTTCTCTGAAGGCAGAGAGAGGGGACTCCAGCACTCATTCTATCTTCCAACTTTATTCCTGGAGGCACAACAGTCTTCATTTTCCTTCAGAGTCCCTATGCTGTGCCTAAGAAACCCTTTTATCTTAGTTAAATTCTGCAGGTTTCTGTTTCCTCATTCAAGTGACCCCTAACGCAAATACACCTGCCTTTCTGACATCCAACATGGGTACTAGGACCACCTGGCCAGGGGCACCTTTCCTCCTTCCCAAACCTCAGTGCTTATTTTAGATGTTGTCTCTGAACATCCAGGGTCTTAGCATCTCAGATTGGTAGAAGGCAAATGTAATTACTTCTCTTTATAGTTCTTTTCCTTCAGTATTACTGACCTACTTACTAGTCAGAAAACATAAACATGTGTGAGAATTCAGAATCAGAGGCCAGTTCCTCAATAACAATGGTCAGTGCTGTGTGTCCAAGCCAAGGAATGATAAGGGATGTGTGAAAATGGATACAGAGACCAAAAACCTAGGGTCAGAGATCCACTAGGGCTGGAGATACCCCTTGGGTCCTGGAATTGAAGTTGTAATTACACCTACCCTAGCTCCGAAGGGAAAAAGGCTGGGCTGAAGGAAGGTCATACTCCTGTTCTGCATGGTTAAGTGTTCAACATAGGCAAAGTGTCCTGATTCTAGGAATATGCAGGAGGGCAGGGTACTGAAGTCAAAGGGATTGTTTTTTCATGACTTCATGAAAACCAGGGTGCTGTTCTTCCGCTGATGGCATATAAAACAATGGCCCAGGAGGAGCTACTCAATCCCAGAGATCAATGTCCTTTACCAGATGGTATCAGTTTCCAGAAACTTCATAGCTGCCCGGATCAGTTGGTCCTTGTTTCGCTGGGTTGGGTTGTCCAAAGAAGTGTTGCACAATGTGGTCTAGATCAAGAGCAGAGAATCCACTGTGATGATCATCTGTGGGGCTTAGCGCAAAGGACTACCTTCCCTGGGCAATGTACCCAACACACAGCAGAAAGGAAAGAAGCAATGGTTACTGGGGGTGGGAAGGGAGGGAGAGGAAGAAGGGAGTAAAAATTAGTAAAAAAAGATAATTTCATTGTTATGTACCTTTGAGTCAACTCCAATTCATAGCAACCCTATATAAAACAGCTCTGAACCATTCTCTATCTTGAGCCAACTTCAATGTCTCTGACACACCTACATCTATTACCCCAGTCAGTGAGTCAATTTATCTCATCCAGGGTCTTCATCTCTTGCACCCTTCCAAGTATGATGTCCCTACCCAAGTACTGGTCCCTCTTTGCAACATGCCCAAGGTATGTCAGACAGAACTTCAAAATCCTTTCCTCCAAGGAGCAGCATGGTTTCACCCTCTCCAGGACAGGAGAGGGTGTTTGTTCTACTAGCAGTCAATGGTATATTCAATACTCTTCTCCAGCACCACAACTCAAAGACATCAATTCTTCATCTGTCATCCTTATTTACTTACTAAGTTGGGTGAAGGAAAAGACAAACAATAAGGGGTTATCAGACCTGTAACTAATTACACTCATTAACTATAAATGCTATAAAAGAAAATGTGTATATATGATTCCAAGAAAAATCAATATATTGATAACATGAATAAAGAATAAAAAGGTAATGTCACAATAGAACCAACTGAAATGAAAAGGATAATAAAAGAATATTATGAAGAATTATACTCTAAAAATTTGAAATCCTAGGAAAAAATGGACACATTTTAGAAAGTTACTGTTTACCCAAACCACCTCAGACAGAGGTTGAATATTTGAACAAACCCATCAGCAAAGCAGAAATTTAACAGGTCATTAAAAAACTCTGTATCAAAACAAAGTCTTAGCCCACATGGCTCCACTCCTGAATTCTACCAGACATTCAGAGAAGAGCTAAACCAGTTCTACTTAAAATGTTTCAGACTACAGAAAAACATGATATTCCTAAACTCGACCTATGAAGCAAACATAAGCCTGATATCAAAGCCAGGCAAAGATATCGCTCAAAAAGAAAATTATAGACCAATATCCCTCATGGTATTGGTCTATAATATGATCAAGAGGCAACGGTGATGAAGGAGAAAGTTCAGGCTGCTCTGAAAAACTTGGCAAAAAATAAAGTCCCAGGAATTGATGGAATACCAACTGACATATTTCAGCAAACAGATGCTGCTCTGGATGTGCTCATCAAGTTGTGCCAAGAAATCTGGAGGACAACTACTTGGCCAACTGATTGGAAGAGATTCATACTTGTTCCTATTCCAAAAACAGGTGACCCAACAGAGTGTGGAAATTATCGCACACCATCTTTAATATCACACACTAGCAAAATCCTGCTGAAGATTATCCAGAAACGACTGGAACAATACACTGACAGAGAACTGCCAGATGTGCAGGCTGTGTTTAGAAGAGTCCATGGCACTAGGGATATTGTAGCTAATGTTAGATGGATAACAACCAACGGAAAGCAGAGGGTACCAGAGGAATGTCTCTATCTGTTTCATTGACTATGCAAAGGCATTTGACTGTGTGGATCACAAAAAAATTGTGGCTAACTCTGAGGAAAATGAGAATCCCAAAACACTTGATTGTGCTTATGCCAAAATTATACCTGTACCAGGAAGCAGTCCTCAGAACAGAACAAGGAAACACTGTATGGTTCAAAATCAGGAAAGGAGTATGTGAGGGCTACTTCCTGTCCCCATACATTTTCAATCTGTATGCAGAATATTCAGGAAGCAGGGATTTCTAAAGAGGAATGTGGCGGGAAGGTTGGAGGAAGACTCATCAACAACTTCAATATCCAGAAGACACAACTTTGCTTGCTAAAACTGAAAAAGACCTGAAGCACCTGCTGCAGAAGGTCAAGGACTATATTCTTCAATATGGGCTGAAGCTCAACATCAAGAAGACAAAGATCCTCACCACTGGGCCAACTGGCAACACCATGATAGATGGAGAAGAGATGGAGGTTGTTAGTAATTACAGCTTGCTTGGCTCCACAATCAACACTCTGAACACTAGCAGTCAGGAAATCAAAAGAGGAATTGCCTTGGGAAAATCTGCTGTCAGGGACCTCTCAGTAGTGCTAAAAAGCAAAGATGTCAGTCTAGAGACAAAAGTGCTCCTAATCCAGGCCATGATCTTCGCAATTACTTGTTATGCTTCAGAGAGCTGGACAATGACTAAGGATGACAGAAGAAGAATCGATGCCTTTGAGCTGTGGTGCTAGAGAATAGTCTTGAACATACCAAAAACTGCCAAGAAAACGAATAGATCTGTCTTGGAGAGGATGAAACAAAGTCACTCTTTTGAGGCTAGAATTTTGAAGCTCCATTTCATACTTTAGACACATGGCCAGAAAAGACTGGTCCTTGAAGAAGGACATCATGCTCAGAAGGGTGGAGGGTTAGTGCAGGAGAAGACCTCGGATGAGATGGATTGATACAGTATCTGGGACAGTGCGGGTGTCAGAATTAGTGAGATTGGCTCAGGGCAGGAAAGGGTTCAGAACTGCTGTACATAGGGTTGCTATTGGTTGCAGGTGACTCAACAGCACATAACAACAATAACAACAAATTATATTGTTTATTTTTTATTTTTTATTTAAGCCTTTTGTTTAGAGTCAACAAGACCCCAGGGAGGGCCTTTGTATTTAAAAGTTGGCTGTTATTATATTTTGGAGGAACATTCTTCTAAGCAGTACAGCACTCTTCTGTCAATAACCTGGGGTTGCTATGATGCCAAACCTTGTGCCATTGGGGGTGGGGGGCCAAACGGCATAACCATAACCCATGGTAGACAGTGTTTGGAGGAGCTCCCAGTTTAAGACAGGTTTGGAAACAGGAGTGACATCTACTTCCTAAACTCTATGAACTTTGAGAAACAATAGTTACAAAAAGGCTTCAGGTCTTTTGTTCATAGTATCCCTATGAGTTGTGCTCAACTCGACAGCAATCAACAAAAATCCCTCATGAACACAGATGAAAACATTCTCAATAAAATCCTAGCCCACATAATTCACCAGCGTATAAAAAAACCTGTTTATCATGATGAGGAAGGATTCATACCAGGTATGCACCACTGTGTCAATTGGCAACATCATGCTAGATGGAGAAATGACTGAAATTGTCAATTATTTTGTCTTACTTGGATTACCAAGCAGCTCTCCAGGTAGTCAGGAGATCAGGAGACATATTGGATCAGGTAAGTTAGGGACCTCTCCAAAACACTGTAAAACAATGATGTTGGTTCAAAGACTAAGGTGCATCTGATTGAGGCCATATGGTCTTTTTGATCACTTGCTATGCATCTAAGAGCTGGACAATGAATATGGATGACAGAAGAATTGTTTTTGCCCTTGAGATTTGGTGCTGGAAAAGAATACTGAACAACCAATGGACTGTCAAAAGAACAGGTATATCCTTTTGTTTAGAGTCACAGTCACAGTACTCTTTAAAGGCAAAGATGGCAAAGCTTCATCTCTTATACTTTGGATATGTTGCTAAGAAAGGCTATTCTTTAGAAAGGGACATCATGCTTAGAAAGGTGGAGGGACAACAAAAGAGAGGAAGACCCTCAATGATAGGGACTAACACAGTGACTGAAGCTATGGGCTCAAGTGTATCAGAGGTACAGGATAGGTCAGGGCTCAAGTTTGTTGTTCATGGGGTTGCTTATGAGTCACACTTGACTACACAGCACCTACACAAAAAACATGCAAAAATGGTTCCACATTAGAAAATCAATCTGTGTAATCTGTCACATCAATAAAGCAAAGGAGAGACGGAACTACTCCACCGCCAGGTGGAACTACTCCACCGCAGACGGGCCGGGAAGAGACCCGGGAAGAGCAACAGTCAGCCACCCACCGCGGAACTCCAGAGGAGCGAAGACTACCCGCCACAGTGTGACCCCCTGCAGCCCACACCTGTGTGACCCCCAACACACAGGGTGCTGCTGCATAAGCCCCCAGCAGTGCCCAAGACCCGCACCCACCTCTCGATGGTAGTGTCCAAGCCCTGTGCTCCTTAGGCCCCCTAGTCCCTTGCTTTCCTCCCCTTCCCCCACCCCCCTTGCAGCTCCACAACCACGCACCTCAGCCCCCACCACAGCCCTGTGACCTCAGGGCACCATTGCGGATCCAGCCATCACCCAGAACTATCAGCCGAGCTGTTATGGAACTAACCTGGCAGGAGAAAGGCCGGTAGGATCTTGGCTGTGTTTACTGGGGCATTGCCTGGGAGAGCACCTAAGGGCGTGCCCAATGGTGGAGAATGTGGCCAAGCTCTCTTGGGCTACATCAACTGCCCAAAACGAGCCAGCCAGCTGGCTTCTGTGAACTCTGCAGACCAGCCAGAGGCTAGTGGGTTGGTGGGAATTTGATCTTGACTTTTCGGATCCTGTCGGACCCAGGACCCTGCCGGAGCAGGGGCTGTTGTGTGAGGGCACCTGCGTAAGTGCCACTAGGCAGGGAACACTAAGAAAACCACTGGGTAGGAAACGGACAGCAGGAATTTGAGTAGGGACCCCAGTCTTGAGCACACTGAGACGGCAGAGGTTTGAACAAGGTCCCCCAAGTGTTTGACCTGCCCTTGCGATCACCCAACCCTTTGCCTGCCTCAGCCCATTTGGCTCCACACCAGTGCCTACACGTCTGGGCAATCAACTTGCCTTTAAACGGGAGCACCTTGACCTGTCTTAGCAACAAGAGATTGCCATAGCAGGTGTTGAACTGACATTTTTCTGGAGTCAGAAAGTCAGAGAAAAACACAAGTTTGGTAGCTGCCCATCTGACCTCAAGAGCATTGTCTTCAGATCAAGAACACATACCAATGTCTCGAAGAAAGCAAACTATCCCACACAATACACAAGAGCAAACCAAGATGACACTCACAAAGGGCA